GAAGACACCGACCTTTCGTCTTGTTTTCTAAATGAAAATAGAATTATAAAATCTATTTTCAATACAAATCATTTTTAGGCAAAGTAAACTCTATTCAAATATATTTTAAGCAACGTAAATATCTGAAAAATATCACATTATTACTTTTTTACTAAGCGAGATATTTTGATACGAAATTTGAATTTTAAAGCGTCCACGGTATGTCGAACTAGTGAAACGCAATAGGCGGAAGCAAGATGTTTCCATCCTCGCCTCCCAGCCACGCGTGTTGCGTGGAGAAGAAGCGCTGAGAACGCGGGGGACGAACTGCAACGCAGCGCTCCGGGCAGCTCGCAGGAAGAAAGAGGCTCCCCGGCACGTGGGGCTTCTTCTGTCGCTCCGTTCTTTATTTATGCCCCGATCGCGTCTTCCCCTCGCGCATTACCGCTCCCTTTTGTCCCTATTTCTTCCGTTCAATTGGACCCTTCTCCTTCCCAATTTTCTGCGTCCCGATTCTCTTCATTTGTCGGAAATATATTTTAACCTGCCCGAAAGAGTCCTCCCCTCTCCGGCGATAAAGGGGTTTTCGTCTTAGAAATTTCCGAAACGGCTTAGGGGTCGGGGAGTCTGGTGTGTAGGAGTGATTGACCTAAGACCCGCCACGGCTGGCGAAGGGCGCGTCCTCCCTCGGAGAGAGAGGAAATGTGACGTTCTGGAGGCGCTCTAATGACAAGGGCTCCCAGTCACTTGAGGGCGAAGGGCGGGGGGTGCCACCCTTTCAGTCGCGGGCGGAAGCCCGCAGGCGCCCTTCACCTCTCCGAGCCCTTTTCGCGTAATAAGCAAACGTGTAAACGGGGCATTTTAACGAAGGCACGGGGCGCCCTATGAATATTTGATGAACAATTTCGGAAGCACGACACGTGACAAAATATGCCCCGAGAGCCAAGGTCGCGCTTAAAATAAGCGCTACCCTCCCGAGAGCTCGGGGCCCTGTGGAGACCTCGCCAGGAAAGTGCAGAGGCTTACTGGAATTTCACTGCGGGGTTTTACGAAGGCTGTGGGCGTATTCACTTACAGCCTTAAGCATATTCGCCTGCGTTGTTCTAAAACGACTTAATTAGAGTTTGGTCTCCATTTACGCTGCAGAGGTGTTGATATAATTCTTATTTGCACATTTGACTTGCATATTCTTCTCTTTCGGTATACTTTTCGTTTTCAGAAGTTCTTTTGTGCCAATGCATTATTAATAAACTTCTTTGTAGTTAAATGGATATGAAATGTTAGCGAATTCAAGAGACGCTAGAAAGCCGGAATGCTAACAGTATTCATGATTAAATATGCATAAAGTCATGTTCTTTCTTTTGTGCACATACAATAACTGATACACATTATTCACATTCATAGAATTGATGTAAAACGTTTTTTCCTTACAAAACTACACAAATTATTTCAGTAAACAATTAAACAGTCCTTTGAATTACATATTTAGGAATAAAAGCATGTACTCTCTGTACAGTAAAGAATGTTATAGTATAAATGTTCTGAATGTAAATTTTTAATATTTTAATTCATTTTTAGATTCAACAGTTAACATTATTTTTTTCAAATAACTGCGTTTTCAAAGTAATTGAGTTTTAAAATATTGAATCTGTTGTTGAAATAATATTACTTTCTTATGATATTTATTTTTATGTAGACTTGCGCAGAAAGAATAGCCTGATTTGAGTTCCAGAGACAGATACTCCAGAGACTGTGTATGCGCATGCGCGACATAAGCACGAGGAAAGAAGTAGGGAAGGGCGTCCATTTGCTGTTAAGACTATGTGAGATCCAGAGCACCGCTCTTTCTCTGTGGAAACTTACTTTAACAATATGCATGTACTATGTACTTGGCGCGATAGTCCATGAACAGATTCAGGCCTACCGGCGACGTCCCTGCCTCGCGGCCCTGGATTAAGGGGGTACGTGTGGTTAGCACGTAGACATCCCCACGACGTATTCCGGTCTTCTCAACCCGATGGGAGAATTTCATGTTGAACGTGTGACAGTGTGGTGTGCCGTTGCTTTGGCATTATAGACGATTATTTCCTTGAGGACAATATTGACAGGGCTGTTACAGTTACTAGTGACCTCCATGTGAATATGATAAATAACTTTCTTTCAACGCTGGCGAAACGCAACCTACCTCAGGTATGCTTCCTACAGGATTAGGGTATATATCTTGTAAGGCTCGTCTATCCATGGTCATTTTGCTTTTCAAGATCGATTAATTTCCAGATTTGGAGACATCAACTGACCAGTTCGGTTGCCATATTTGACTTCTTATGACGGTATCTGAAGAGTCATGTCTGCACTACACACCCTCACACATCGGCAGATCTTAAGCGACGAATACGAGAAACATTGAAGGAAAACCCCTAGGGCATAGTACATCGTGTGATGCAGGCTTTTGTTGGCCGCCTGGAGGTATGTGTACAATGTATGGTAGTAATTTACCCAATGTAATATTCAAGTAACAGTGACTGTTCGCAATCGTGATTAAATAGCCTTAACCTACGAGTATGTTCTCGAGTTATTTTCCAATAAATAATTATACTCTCTACAATATGCTGGTTTGTTTAAATCTTATTTTTCTTTCTGTGCAACCCTGTATCTTAAGTTGTAATATCACTTTCGATGTTATTATATCATTTTGAGACAAAAACATTTTTTCTGATTTTCTTTAATAATAATTACATTATTATGTATTACCTTACTCAACATACTTTAGTAGAAATCACCCAACTGGAATAGAATACAAACAAACTGTGTTAATTGTATTCGATCGATTAATATCTTGATTCTATGCAACAGTTGTCATGATGGAATTTTCGGGTTTTCCAGATGTACGCAAAAGCGAAAACATAAATAGGATGTCTGCTCTCGATCTTATCTGATACTGCGCTTTTGAAAATGCTTCGAACACTTTCACCAGAGGCTAGGAGAATTGAGTACCCGAACGCCGTGATTTCACTGGATGATATGAATCTGGGCGTTATCTCCCACACTTCTACATTCGCAGAGCACCGATCGTATCGGTGCTTCACATGCACAATGCCAGATAAACATCTTTTTCAGTGAATTGTCACGTAAGAGCTGATTGTCGAGAGAAGAAAGGCTTTACAGAAGAGCGGGAATAAAACATAAAGCTAGTGTTGCTGTTTCATGATGTGTTGCAGTGTTTGTATCACAAGATTCAAATTCAATCTTATCTTTCAGCCAACGTAGTATGAACTAAATATTTTTGACTAAGCTTAATTAGCAATCAGGTTATCATAGCAGGCTTGTTTTTAATTGAAACAATTTCAATGTAATAGAACAGAAAAAGACAACTACGCATTATTTTTTAAAATATGTGTTAATATATTTTCATGTCATTTCAGCAAATTTCTATGATAAGCGTGCAAAACTAATGACAATACTGCCGTGTTTAGACACAAATTTTGATAGTGATTTGCGAGAAACAAACAGTTAACGGGAGATCTTAATTTATTGTGTAAAAATACGGTGTATTTTCTGAAAAAAAAGTATTATTCTCATTCTTAGTTTCATAAAAAAATGACAGTCATTTCAGTCCAGTTACCTTTCCATTTGAAGTATATTTGATTTTGTTGACCAATAATAAAGTTGTGAGTTCCCTTGAACTAAATTGTGCAAAATAATGAAATGCTTTTTTATATGTTCGAGAAAACTTTTGTAGATTCGGATGTGAATCTAATTCTATATTCAAATTTATGAGCATATTGAGTTCTCTCAGCGACTACAATGTTTATTATCATTTTAAATTATTATGGTTTAATATGACGTTTAAGTTAAAGGATCTGCTTATTTTTCAAAATATATTGTACAAAAAGGGTGAAAAGGACTAATGGTTAGAATTTATAAACACTATGTACTGAAAGTAAAGAAAACACATTACTCTTAGTTATATATTACTATTAATATACTGTATGTTTATAGACTCGATGAAGCGATATATTTTTCCTTCTTGTACTCGTATTATATAAGGTATTCTTTGCTAATTAATAAAACGCTCTACATAATTTTAGTTAATTAAAATAGCTGTTGGTCAAAAACGAACTCCGTAGTTACGTTCTGTTTACCATCAAAATGAATTCCAGTTTTTTTGTCACAATATTAGACACAATTTTTTCTGTCTGACTGTGAAAGGAGCATAGCCGGATTTGCGTGGTTAGGCTGAAGAGTAGGCCTTGCTGCCTGAATCTAGTCATTGAAAATACGGCAAAATTCAACTGAAGTAAATACCAAGGAGACATCTGAGAACTACAATGTTTGAAATCGTCGAAAAAAAAAGAAAGAGGAATATGAAAAATCCTCAAATCGTTATATTTCATCGTTAACACCGTGTGCCAGATAAGCGAACATCATCAGGCGAAGCGCGCGGCGAGGGCGGCGATGACGCCGTGTATTGAATCCAATCGATTAGAATCGAATCGAATACCAAGGAGATATCTGAGGATTAGAATATTTGAAATGGTCGAAAAAAAACAGGAAGAGGAATATAAAAAAACTCAAATCGTTATATTTAATTGCGAAAAACCCAGACAAGCGCCAGACAAGTGCCAGACAAGCGCGCATCATCAGGTGTAGCGCGTGGCGAGGGCGGCAATGACGTCATGTATTGAATCGAATCGAATGGAATCGAATGGAATCGAATCGAATGGAATCGAATGGAATCGAATGGAATCGAATGGAATCGAATGGAATCGAATGGGATAAAACGGGATAAAACGGGATAAAACGGGATAAAACGGGATAAAACGGGATAAAACGGGATAAAACGGAATAAAACGGAATAAAACGGAATAAAACGGAATAAAATGGAATCGATGCGAATAACAAGGAGATATCGGATGATTAGAATATTTGAAATGGTCGAAAAAAACAAGGAGATTAATATAAAAAAAGCTCAAATCGTTATATTTAATTGCGAAAGACGTGTGGCAGACAAGCGAGCGTCATCAGGCGTAGCGCGCGGCGAGGGCGGCGACGACGCCCTGGAAGGCGGCGTTGTAGTCGAGCGCCACCTCGTTCTGCACGGCGTCGTCGCGCCTGTCCACGTAGTTGTCCCACTCGTCGGGCCCGCCCACGAGCGCGCCGTACAGGACGTTGGGGTTGGGCCCGCTGTCGCCGAACGTGTTCCAGTTGCACGTGTTCGCCGTGCACACGTCCGACGGGCACGAGCTGAAATTGGCGCGAGATACAAAAATTAAATATGCGTTAGCGGAATGTATTTGCGGTTCGGTTTTCAATTTTGAGTAATATTTTTCAAAAAAATTATCAGAAAGTGTAAATCATTATATGCTGAGTCGATGAGACTTCGCGACAATATCAATCGATCGATGTGTACTTTTCTAAAATTGGAAAAATATTTTTCAATACACTAGTTATAATCCAACGGCGTTAGTTTTAGTCCAACGGCTTTAAAATATCGATAAAGTTGACGAATATTCTTTCAGTGCACACGAAATCAGATAGAGCTCAAGTAAACAACTGTTTCAATTGAATTGTTTACATCACGAATTTCAGTATTAATTTAGTGAGTAAACAATTTTAGAGAATGAGTGTTATGCATTTATATAAAATTCAAATAAAAGAACCCAATGCTAATAAAATGAATATTTGAAATAATATCCAGAAATGTTAACTGTCATCATTCAATTATAGTATAATTGCGGAAATCTCATGATTACCTTTAAAACTGTCTCTCATCTAGGGATAACTCGCGTTATCTATTGTGTGGCTGCGTTATGTTTGCTCTGCGAGCGATAAGACGTTTTAAACCCTGTTTAAAACGTGAATCAATTCCATACCAGTTGCAGTTATGAGACACAATTAAAATAACGTCCTGGTACTTTGCGTAGTTTTCACAAGACAATATTTTAAAATTAAATGTTCTCAAAATTTAAAGAATAATTTCCGTTATTCCACTTGTTGCTCGTTGTTAAGTAACTTGTTAATATTTTATAAAAATTATATTAATAATTATTTTTTTAGATGAAATTTTTTGTTTAGAAATAACGCATTAATTTGCTCCAATCCAATGCACTAAATTCTGTTCTAACAGAATGTAAAAATATTATTCATAAAATGATTAGTTTTTTGGTATCTCCGTTTTTTAGAAGAATGAGTAGTGCTTGTCTATCATTTACATATTTTCACATTCTTTTATTAGAAGCAGTTTCTTTTGAGGGGGTGATTACCTCAACCTGGCAACACTGTGGTCGGGGCAGTGTCGTGTTTGTCACGAGTTCGCTCACCTGCCGCGGTGATGTGGCCTGAGGGGTGGGTTGTTTCCGAAGCCGCACACGTAGCTGCGCCCGCTGTCGCCCAGCATGTAGTCGATCTGCTCCTTCACGAAGTTCCAATACGTATTGGAGTTGATGTTCAGACGCGCAGCCTGGTAAAAATATTCAGTCGTGGTATATTATTCGTTATATATTATTGTGAGAAAACCCTACAACTGGGTGACACTCAGAAATGGAGATCACAAATTTTACATTCGCTATTCACATGTGCTTGTATTTCATATTCCTTTAGGTTGAAATGACGATAATAAGATATAAAAAGAAAAATAGATTTAGAATAGTTACAGATCTTAATAAACTTCTCGTTTTGTTTAGAGCAAATGTCAAAATAAATCTTTTCAGATTTTATGAATTCAGATGTATAATATCACCCGATAAGTCCTGTCTTCATTTGCTTGCTTTGATTAACATTTGCGAAAGACTGATATTGAATCGCTTCACTGATTAATTTTAAGCCATCTCTTTTAATAGGAAATTAATTAATAAAAATTAAAACGGGAATTTGAACAAATATTTTCATGTATTCATAAAATCTTAGATTTAATAGTTTTTTAACACAGTGAGCAAAGCATAGGTTTCTCGTGCTTCTTTCCGCGTTCGAAACAATTTTTTTTTATTCTATTTAATAATGCCAGAAATATCAAGCGTTTATATTCGTGAAACGACTCTTGCACCATTTTGCACTTTTGTAAAACTATTCACTTTAATTCAATATTGTCACAATGAAACATCTTGTTTGTTTATAAAGCTCATTATTTTTTCAATAAATTGAAAGTCGTAGTTTTCTTGACGTAAATTATTTTCTGGATGTACTATCAATGCATATTATAATAAACAATATAGGTAACTCCAATATTTCAAAAATGTAAAATAAAATCTGCTGTACTCATCGACACTTCAGAAAAAGATGATGCATTAATGGAAGTGTCGCATGGTAATAAGGAAAACAGGAATCTACTTGTAAAAGGTATTGAGAAACGCATTGAGGCAAATATATTCGTTTATATGATGAAATGCTTTCCACCTTGTGTTGGAGAGCGAAACACTTAGTTCACGAAAATGAAAGACTTTCTGGGAGCTAAGGAGAACACTAAGATGTAATTTTCATGCACTTGATTGCATTTCTGATACAATCAGAATAATGGGAGCACAGGTGGGTTAAATTGATTCCCAAGTTATCTTTAAGTCAGGTACGTAATTATGTCCCACATTTTGACGAGTAAATGCCATATTTCTGTATCCCAGTGGCCGAGTTATATTCGCTTCCGTGTCATATAAAGATTTTGATGTATTATAACTGATATTTTTGAGATGACAATCTGCATTGTTTTTGCCAAAGTAATGACGAGGACTGAATAAGTGAGCCAAAAAATTGAACAACGACAATAGTTGGATTATGGTAATAGTTATAATTCAAGATGTTCGGTTATGTCAATTCCTTGAAAATCCTACCGTACTAATTGGCGAGTGCAGCAGAAATAAATGAAGGTTTTCGTACTCAAAATAATGAGTGTTTAAAAATATGGGAACAAATGCCAATGAAAATGCAGATATGAATAAGGAATCGGAAATAAATTTTAAGTACATTGCAAAAATCTGCAGAATTTACAAAAAAAACTTGTCTTTACAATATTCTAAGACACTGGAATTATTAAAAGGGTGGTGGAGACAAAAATCAGAGACAAGAAAAGCTTGGGGGAAAAAGGATGCTTTTAAATAAGTCCGAAAGTAATAATCATGAGAACGCCTACTGCTGCATTAAAGTGTGAAAGGACATATTGTACTTCTAACACACACTACTCACCGCGCCGGACGCTCGTATTTTTGTGTGACTTTTCTAGGTGAGAGAGGTATCATAAAAATTCAAGATGGATTCGCCGCGTAACGTCACGTAATGGTGTAATCTCTAACGCATGAAATTCCATTACTTGAACCCTGGGTCGATCCCCGACCAATCCATTTGTAATTTGCGGTCAAAGTGATCTCTCGGTGAAGCTTCTCGGTATATTTCGGTTATCCCTGCTTACTATTCCTATATATTCTTTATCATTGTCGCTATCACCTATTCATTACATAAAAACTCATTACTCCCTAACAACCTTAGTGTATGAACAATCTATAATCACTATAATTAAATAAGCAATTAGATGGAAATAAACAAAAATGAATAAATAAATAAATGTAAAAATCATAGTTGTGAAATTTGGTATGCATTTGATTTTAAATGAAGAGGGAAGTGTCTGGGCACCATGTTAATAATAATCGATATTCAAAATAATTTTCAAAACCACGTAGTAGTCAGCATAAATGAGACAGTCCATTACCATCGTTTCGATTAAAATTCACGCCTTTTGTTGTTATAAAACTCTGTGCCCCACTCTTATTCTATAAATGAAACAAAGGCCTTCCAAATTTTGACAATCCGCATTTTCAATGACACCCAATCGTTTGGCGATGTTGCATAAAACCTCAAACAGACACAAGATGAACCTTAAATTCTTGGCTATGCGGAAGACGCCACGTCGTTGGCTGAGAGGCTGCCCTTTCGCCTGACATATCGCTGACATATCCCCAGTCACTGCCCTGAGGAAGCCTGCGACATGTCAGGCGAAACGTCGGCTTTCCAGCCAACGACGCGGCGTCTCCCGGATAGCCGAGAATTTATGGAATCACGCCGCGGAATCTTACGTGTGCAAGGCATTCTTGGCTATCCAGGATGAGCCGCGTCTCGATCAATTGTGCTGACGTTTCGGCCGTCAGAGCTATACTGCTGGCCTACTTCAGCAGTATAGCTCTGAAGAAGGCCACAGCAAGATGGCCGAAACGTCAGCACAATTGACCGAGACGCAGCTCCTCCCGGATAGCCAAGAATGCATTGACTCCGGCCGCGGAAGCCTACGAACGTCACGTGTGCAAGACGAACGCGACCTTACCTCAGCGCAGATGAGCATAGCGTTGGCGGTGTTCCGCAAGGACCCCCACTGCCCCAGGAAGACGAGCCCCTTGGGCGTGCGCTGCTGCGAGTAGAGCAGGTGGTCGCAGTAGGAGCGGAGGTTGTCGGTGTAGACCTGCTTGCCGGTGATGCCGGCGAGCACGGCGTCGGCGCCGGAGCCCTTGGCGTCCCAGCCGAAGCCGTTGTTCCACTGGATGCCGTACCACGAGTAGAAGTTCTCCGCCAGGTCCAGCACCCACTGCTCCCCTGTGGCGCGGGCTAGCCACGCCGCGCTCCACGTCAGCTCGTCCTCGTAGCCCCAGGATCTGCGCGGGCGGAGAGCGAAGAACTTAACCCCCTCCCACAATTGGAAGTTCGAAAATTTTTGTTCTAAATGTTTATTTGATTAGAAAAACAACACTCCAGTAATTAATAAAAATAATTTAATCAACACAACAATGAGTAACATAACCCGCTTCAAACCTTACCTTCGCAAATTCACGCTTTAACTTCAATATCACACTACGCTCTCAATTCCGCTCTAGACCAATGTCTCGCTCTCGATCAACTGGAACGTTTCGTTGCCATTTTCTGTACTTTCATTGGTCGAGAGGTTTCCCGTTCCCAAGCCAAGATAAATGTTGACTATGATTGGTCTTTCCCATTCCCGTTCGCGTCGTGTTGTGAATGCCTGCTTGCGATGACCGTCTTTCAACTTACGTGACCGTTTGCGTTTCTGTTCACGGACTATTGTTGAGTTGCGTTTAGCTTGTCTCCAAATGGAGCCACTCGGTGGAGCCGCCGACAGAACCCTTCATACGCAGCCGCCGCCATCCGCAACTTAATCGCGAGAGGAGGAGTCTCACCGCTATGGGTTCCGTTGTCCGAAAGGCAGCCAACAGTTAAAAACCGCGTCCCAGTGAACTACTATGAAACCTGCTACTTAGTACTGTTCTGTTGGTGCTAGCGCGGACTCTTGTCTGCTCTGCGTGTTCACCATCCAGCGCCAGAGAAGCGCGACCCCGCCCCTCGTGTGAATGCCTCCGTTTAAACCAATGCTTTGCCAGCAAACGCGCCACTCGGAAGCGCTTCTGAATGGTATTGTATGAAGGGGCTCTTAAAGATACCGAAAATACAATAGGGCGCACCTTCTAACATTGAAGCACTATCAATTTTCTGTGCTTGCGCAGTTCAAGTTTCGTATCACTTTAGTGTATCTGCGCATGCGGAGAAGATCGATAATACTTTAAAGTTTGGGTACACGAAAACCGTAGTGACATCAAAAATGACACCGCGTTCGATAGCTTAGCAGCATCATCTCTGCTGTTGCAATGTTGTCCGGGAGGTTCCGATTTTCAAGCCCTGGCGGTGGTAGATCTCAGATACTTTAATAAAAAGAAATATATACGTATGTTGTTTGTAGTGTAATTATTGATATACTGTATCATTTTTCTAAACTTCTTTCTAAAAAAATGTGTCTCTCTCATCTATAATGAGTCATAAGTCAAACAATAGTTCATAAATATATTTATGATTTCTAGTCAGACCACTCGGCCACGACTGCCTGATATATTTATGAAATGACACCGTGTATTATCTGCAATAGATTTCGAATAAAGAAAAAAATTAAATAATACATGTTCGTAGAGTAATTTTCCTTAAAAGTATTTAATTTCTCTACATTATTTTTAATCAACGCAAAGGGGCAAGGAAATATTGAAATAAGTGGAAAGCTTCTGATAGGGCATGTTACTTGTCTCTGTTGCAAGTGTCTGAATGCGGTGCCATTCTCGCTGAAAAAAGGATGAGACCGCATTTCCTATTAGCAGCGAATTTTGATTCTGATTTAATTGAAATTAATAGATAATGCATGTAATTTCATATCACGAAAAAATACATTTCATTATTATTTTCGTGGTAAATTAATTAGGAAATTGTTATTTTAGTATGTCTAGATATCCATTTATCAATAGTAGCTAAATCTGATATGACTTGCACATTATTATTGTCTGTTATGAAAACATGATCGTGTGGTAATCGCATCACTGTTTAATTTTTAGTATTGTATGTTGTTAATAACCACTCAATTATGGCCATTTTCTTCTGTTACAGGTATGTACACAAAATCACTGCAAACGAAAACGAAATCCCTTCTAAAATAGTAAGTAAAGTATATAGTATATTCTTTTTTCGAAACAAATGTTTTGTGAGAGGTTGTACTTGTCAATGTTTAATAATTTATATTTCATTCTAATAAATAAAGTGGAAAACAGAAGGAGGGAATAGTTGTAGAAATTGTCAAAGGCGCATTATAACCATTACTTCATTATCTCGTAGAATCGAGACATCTTATATATGATGAGTAAGAGTCATATCAAGTTGTTGTCTCCTAAATTTTATTAATAAAAGTTTCTTGAGTCATTTTGCTGACAAATATTTTATTTTAACGGTGCAGTTTTTTGACGACTTCTCTTAAAACGTAACTTCCAATATATTGTGCTTAAAGTGAGAGAAAACTCTCGTATCTTTATACAGCCATTTTTAAGTATTTCCGAAGAACAATCAATCGTATACAATCAACAGAAAACCACATTTTAAAAATAATGTAATTGGAGTGCATTTACGCCAGCTGTGTATTGCACATATTTCTGAATAATTGCCGAACTCGTCAGGCGGCCGTCAGCATTGCAGTGCACTCCCTGTCCCCAAACGACCTCTTGAGTCGTGAACAGCAATTCGAGTCTTGGAAAGACACACAAAGTTCAGCTGACATATAGACCGCGACAAAAACGTGAAAACAAAAAATTCTTTCTACGGAAATTTGTGTTTATGACTCGAAAACGCCAAAGAAGGCATTTATTGCAAATATTATCAGGAAAAAGCTATTTGTTTAATAAAACCGTATGTTGAAACGGCAGGAGTCGGTATCTATTTGACTGTTCGGAAGACGCGTTCTAGGCGCAGATGCCAGCGTTTCGATCTTTGAGATGCGACCTTCCTCAGGGCAAAATTGCAAGGAAGGTCGCAGCATGACGGCCAACTAACCAGCATGACGGGTGGCATCAGTGGCTACAACGCGGCGCGAGTGTCACCTTGACAGCCGAAAATAAATGTTCATTTTTCTCCTGAAGTAGTAAATTGTGTACCAAAAAGGAGTGGCAACTCACGCGTAGAAGTTGGCGGCGTCGGTGATGGAGTCGGAGTACTTCCCGCGGTAGTCGTTGGCGAGGGCGAACAGCTCGCGCGCGCGCTCCACCAGCTCGTTGGCGAGGCCGGCGTCGTAGTCGCGCAGCGCAATGGAGGCGGCGGCGAAGGCGGCGGCGGACTCGCCCGCGAGGTCGGAGCCCGGCTTGGAGGGCGAGATGGAGAAGGCCGGGCGGGCCATGGTCATGCACTCGGCGCGGCCCCAGTAGTTGTGGTCCTCCTGGCCGTTGCCCACCTGCCCGTACAGCACGTCGGGACGGATGTGCGCCTTACGCAGCCACCAGATGCCCCACAGCAGCGCCTCGCGGCCCTGCGAGCAAGCGCGACACGACGTAACGTAAGAAACCCACGGTGTGGATGTAAACAGTCCAGTTCATTTTTTTTATATTTTGTATTTAGCTATTATATGTTCCGTAATTGGCAATTCGCCTCGACGCTGTCAGATACCGGGGTTTCCCACTCGGTCACCCAACCAGGAACCCGCGATATCTCGAATTTGCTTGACTTTCGTGACTTCACGTATTTAACAAATTCGTCTAGCGACGCCTCGCGGCCCTACGAGCAAGCGCGACACGACGTAACGTAAGAAACCCACGGTATGTATGTATATAAAGAGTCCAGTTCATTTTTTTAATATTTTGTATTTAGCTATTATATGTACCGTAATTGGCAATTCGCCTCGACGCTGTCAGATACCGGGGTTTCCCACTGGGTCACCCAACCAGGAACCCGCGATATCTCGAATTTGCTTGACTTTCGTATTTAACAAATTCGTCTA